TGACTCCTGGTGGCAAATTCTTGCCCCTCAGACTCATTTCCTCTCCCCTCTACCTTCCAGCAATGTGGCTGGCAGGCTCCCTTCTTTCTCCTGCCTGCTGCTCCTACGGCGTTTAGTGGTGACCTTACCAAGGTAAGGGGCATAATTTGGGTGTGGAAATGCTCACATGGCTCATGCTCCTCATATTTTGGGTGAGGAAATTGAGGCTCTGCAAGATTCTATCACCCAGTGCATTGCTGATGCAGCTGTGACTAGAACCTGGGCCACCCATCTGGTCTCCAACTCCTGTCAGGCCAAGCGAGGGCCCTCCTCCCTCTCGGCAATTTCCCTCTGCTGAGCTCAGGGCAGTGAATTCTGGCTTTCTTTCCCTCAGGAACAGGGATGGGGTGACCTCAGGCAAGGGCCCCTCAGGACTCCTCCATCCCCCTTCTGGTAGTAGCTGGACCTTGTTTGCTTCCTTCATTTTGAGTGTATGGGGCTTGGGAAGTGCTTTTTGGTGAGAGTGGTTCCAGTAAAACAGAACTGAAGTTGAATCCACTTCCAAAAAGATTAAGCCCTGTTAATCTGGCAGTGTTTGTTTATAAAGGACACGTTCCTCATCTCATTTCATGTCACTGGGGGCAGTGGTGCAGGGTTATTATCTGGCTGCGTTCCCATGCAGGTGGGGAAACTGAGGAAGGGTCAGGGATGTGAGCAAGATCCCATGCTAACTGTGGACAGCCCAGCACCTGGCATCATGCCTGGCATAAAGTAGGCTGTTCAGTAAGTGTTTGTTAAGTGAATTGTTAAAAAAATGAATAATAAAAATTGCTAAGCAAAGCATTTACTATTTATTGCATGCTCTGAGTGATCACCATGATTAACCGTAATGACTCATTCCTTCCTCATAAACATCCTATTATCATCCTCATTTTAGAGATGAGACGTCTGAGGCACAGAGAGGTTAAGTAATGTCCCGAGGCCACATAGTAGGAAGAGGTAGAGCTGGGTGGCCAAGAGCAAAATCCATGCTCTTGGCCACCTGGCTACACCTTGTAAAGTCTAGAGCAGCACTCTCAGTAGCACTGTCTGTGGTGCTGGAATGTTCTGTACCTGTGCTGTCCAAGGTGGCAGCCACTGGCTGCATGTGGCTACTGAGGTCTCAGGATGTGGCTGATGGGACTGAGGGACTGCCCACCCTGGGAGGCAAAGCAGCCCACTCCACATCTCGTGTTGGGCTCTGAGGGTTCTGAATAATGGTCAGATGAAGAGCCCAGAGTCTTGAGACTAAAGAGACTTGGGCCTCAGCTCCACTCCCTCATTAAGAAGAAAGGATGGAGAGAAGTGAAGGAGAGAGGCGAAGGAATGCACCAGTCAGGGAGGATGGGCAGAACTGGGCCTGTCCTGGGGCGCTTCTAATGCCCAAGGCCATGCCTTTTGCTCTGTTCTCTTGGCTCCCTCTGTCCCTCTCTCCTCCATGGAGCAACAATAACGACTCACGTTTCCCACATACAAGAAGAGAGAAACCCTGCTCCTGGCTCTAATACTGAGCCATGGGACCCACAGCCCCATGGGCAAGGTGTATACCTGAATGCAGTCAACTCTTTAACCCAGACTGAGAAGCTCCACTTTCAGGCTTACCTGGCAAAGCCCTAACCCCTGTCAGGCACTTGGCTGGGAGGCTGCAGCCCTGCTGTCAGCTGGTGAGCGCAGGGAGCACAGACTCATTTAATACTGGCTGGAGCTAAACCTCATTAGAAAAGTAAATTTGCTGTAGCTGCAAAAAAAAAGGCAAAAAAAAAAAAAAAAGCAACCCACACAACTCTTCCCAAGCTAAACAGAAAACCTTGGGTTTGGATTCTTTGATGCTTATGTTCCCGGCACTGCCTGCAACACAGTAGGTACTCAGCCAATGTCTGTGAGAGTGGATTTTGTGTCATCTCCACCCACCTTGACATCTTTCAACCTGGACAATGAGAGGCCTCAGATATGGATTTCTTGCAAGGTGCATGAAGTTTTTAGACAGGCATTGGCTAATAAATCAGAATAATTACATTCACCACTAGTTAGACATGAAAATGTTGTTGCTGTTGCTCAGCAAGGGGACACTGAGAGTGTCCTTGTGACAGAGCTCGCCCAGGTGGTCCTTAAGAAGGCCTGGAGTCTGGAGGTGTGGCGAGCCAGATGGGGTGGGGCAGTGGGAGAGATGGGGGAGCCTGAAACAGTGCCAATGTGATGGGCTCCAGGGTTGGCCAGGGAATTGCTACTCCAAATTTAGAGCCATCCAGATCTTGGAGGAATATGGGAGAGGGTATGAAAAAATACATTAAATTAATAATCATCTAGCACTTCACCTAAACCAGCCTGGTGAGAGGAGGCCTTAATTTCTAGGCCTTTAGGAAACCTGGACTTAGAGGGCTCAGTTTTCACAAAGTCCACTCACTGGTCGTGGAAGGAGCTGAGGCAGGGCCCTAGCCTGGCTGGGAGCCTGTGCTCTGCAGGCCCTACTTCCCTGTACCCAAAGCTCTTCTCCAGCAGGGTCCCCAGAGCTCTTCCTGCCTAGGGGCCTGAGGGGTGCATGAGGGAGGGTTTTCTTTTTCTTTCTCCCCAGATGCTACATCTCCCCAGAGTCCACATCCTTCCTCATCCCACTGTATCCCAGACCAGGAGGGTGGTGGGTCAGGGCTCAGGAGCTGGGAGCCCTTAGCAGTGAGGGATGAGTCCAGACAAGAAGGTCTCCCTGAAGATCCCTTATCTCACAGCCTGTCCCCCTTCTGCCTTCCCTTCAGGACTCCCCATGAACTACGCTGGCATTCATTAAAGCTACGAAAAGAGCTTTCCTTAGGAGACCAACTGCTCCACCCAGAGGCCTCTCTGCCCTGGTGGATGACTGCTGATATTGGAAATCTTGGGAAAGAGGGTGCTTGGGCTGATCCTAAATGCACCCCTGGGAGAGCTGGACTTCTGCCTTTGGGCCTCGCTCCGTAGTGCTGCTCTGTGAGTGTGCTTCTGTGTCTTTTGTCTGGGGTCTCAAGCTGACTCCTCTGCCTGCCTCAGACTCTCTCAGATTCTTTCTCTTCTTCAGTCCTGCCTCTCTTCTCCTCCAATTCTCAGCAGAGGGGAGCCCTTGGGCATCTCTGTGCCAGCTCATCCCTTTTTTCCAGCCAAACTAAACCAACATTCGTCCCTCTCCTCTAGCCTGACTCCCTGTGAGCTTACCCTTCTGCATTTCTCACACTTGCAAAGCTCCCAACATGCCTGCTAACCCTGTGCTCCAGGAGAAGAAGTGCAGCCAACTCGGTCCTTCCACCCCTCAAAAACTACTGTGGGAAAACCAGCTCTTTCCAGAGGCCTGAGGCAGAGAACTGGGCTGGCCCCATGGGCATCTTTCTCCGGAGACCCTGGCCTCTGATCCAGGCTCCAGTCTTGTCACTGGAGCTGTCCCACTTCGGTGGTTTACCTGCACCATCCCAGTCAATGCTGGCTCATCCAGAAACCTAGAGAACATATTTGAGCGTCCAACATGCCTGGACATGGAGTGATTCCCAGGCCTCCCCCAGTCAGGTACAGAAAAGGCACAGCAAGCCACTGGCTGCTGGGCTGAATGGGGCACAATCCCATTAACCCTCTCTGTTCCATTAGCCCTAGCAAGGCTTCTTGCCCCTACCACAACGGGTGGAGGGAAATGGGATGCAGCTCCAGAACTTGTGGGAGTGCCTGGCATGGACAGGTCTTCATTCCATATGAAGAAAGGGGGGACTTGGTGTAAGACTAGTAAGGCTAATGTCAACACTAAGCAGGTTCTGGCAGGAAATGTCTCTGCCTCTATGGTGGCTATTGGCAGAATAGGGAGACTGGGGCACAGAAGACAAATGTCAGAAAACCCTAGAGCGACAGTCCTAAGGCCACAGGCCCCTCAACCCCAGTGACTTAGGAAGCTGTATCCTCCCATTTCCATACACAATAACTTCACAGTGCTACATGCACGAGGACATCCCCACCCAACCCATCCTTTTAAACAGTGCCTGCCACACAACCCAAGCTCGGGGTCCCAATGGGCACCCAGACTGGTACAAAGATAGAGCTGCCCCCACCAGGGTGGGGCTAGCATCTGTCAACAAAGGCCACCTTCAGACTCCTGTGCATTAGAAATCCCGAGTCCCCAGCCCTGGCCTCAAGAAATCATCCAGAAGTCTAGGCCTGGACAGGTGAGGAAGGGGAAGGGGGGCTAGTCAAGACCTTATTTATGTATTTGTGTGTGTTCTTGGCCTTAGCTGCTTGGTCCCAGGCTGTCACTTCCTTTCCCTGGCACTGTTAGATCCTGTGGCTTCCTTCTCCTTGTGCGCCTTGCCTGTCAGCTTCCTTTTCGGAAGTTGCATGCTCCCACTTTGGAGGAATGAGGACCTCAGGCCTGAGCCCAGGTGCAGAGGACTGGGTGGTGAGCTGGTCATGCCTCCTGCCTGCCTGCTATAGTGAAGGTCCCAAGGACCCTTTTCCATCCCTGCCACATCTCAGCCCTCTGCCTCCCCAGCAGAGCTGCAGAGGTTGGGTCCCCTGAGGAGCTCACTTGCCAGCGTCTGGAGCCTCAGAGCCCTTGGGGATACTGCAAGCAGGGTTGCAGCTGGGGTGCTGGCCCAGATGAGCCTGGGCCACCAGGAACCACCTGCTGAGGTGGGAAGGGACAGGCGAGGTAAGAGCCTGGACCGGCTGTTGGAAGCTACTGAGAACCAGCTCTTCCCTCCATCCTGGGCTGAGGAGGGCAGGCATCGCCAGGGTTTTGTTTGGAAGCCCCGGCCTTTCCGGCCCCCTTTCCAGCTGTCCCCGCTGCGCGCACAGCCACACACACACACACACACACACACACACACACACACACNACACACACACACACACACACACACACACACACACACACACACACACACAAGCGCGCGCGCACCCGCGAGGACATGGCGTGGGTACTGATGGGGACGCATAAAAGGGGCTCTGTGCGCTGCGGCGGCGCCGCGAGGGTCACTGACCTGAGGCGGCGAGTCCGGATCGTCCCCGGCGCGGCTCATTCCGGGCGGCGGCCCC